GGAAATCCTTATTCTCAAAGAAAGAACAGGAGGGGATGAGGAATGGATTTAGTTCTAACCTACCACCCTATCGACCTGCCTGCACCTCCAGACACTCTGGAAGGAAACTGACAACAAAAACACCATTGACATTGGTTAGAGCCTATATCTTGCGATGTATTCAACCGAGAACAATGAAGATCATTCGAATCCACGCTGGAAGGCAATTTGGTCCCGAATAGAACACATGGTTGGCGGAAACTCGGTCAGCAGAATCAATTTCTCCTTGGAATACCAAAATCCGGAATCGCTTGTAAGTATGGCGTCCTACTATCGCCTGACGGTTTACACAGGTGTGGTGAAAGCAACTGCCACGACGTAGGAATCCCACTTAGTGCTCTCGAATCACTGCTTCACGGGTCACCATAAGGCAACAAATGACAAGTGACTTCAAGGGTCTCGTGATAAATGGAGTCAAATTGATCCTTCCGTAAGTGCGGTACTCATTACGTGCCCCCTTGGTGAAAGTGGGCACTATATCTATTTTCTCCAGTTGTCTGAAACAGTCTTCTTTTTTTTGAATGCAAGCAAGTAGATCAGACAAGCACCAGACTAGGATTTCACTCCTACCCGAACCAAAAGCCCGGTGATACTTCAGAGAAGGTGTGCAGTCAGAAACCTCTGAGGTTGTGGAGGGTTTCAGGTCCACCAGCAAAGGTTACAGTGCAACTGGACTATGTGGCAGCAGGTAGTCATGAGATTCGTTGTTCAACGTGCTTGAACCAGCAACTGGGAATGTTTTTTTAGTCACTTTAGCTAACAGGTGGTTTTTCTAAACTGGTCATACCGATCAGCCAGAATTATATTCAGATACTCCAAGCATACTTCACACTTTCCACTTCCATAATCTTCCAACTGCACAGGATTCACGGTCATGGAATTCGTATTTGACGGTGTCAGAGCAAGGGTCCGTTGGAGGTTAGGCAAACAAAGCTCAAATTCCCACTTGCTTTATCACATCACGGATGTTGCCTAGAAAAACCGCACAGGAGCGACTATTAAATGGGCATCCAGTTAAGCACGAGCTCTTACATCTGATAACTTAGAACCACACTTAACCGCACACATCCCCTCACATCAACCTTTGTATCGCCAGAGCTGCGCAGTTGAATGTGACTGGAAGGTGATGGACAGTTGGCTCAAGGACTGCCCTCAAAGCCTAGATGTCGGTTTCAAGCGAGTCCAGCGTATGGACAAGAGCAGTTTGTTGTCCTGTTTGCTTTAGAGTGTGAACATTAAAAGCAACCAAATCAATAGGGTTTCGAGGCTTAGAGATTGATTTTGAGATACCTTAGTATGCCATTATCAAATGTCTTGGCCGAGAAGGATGAAAGGCTAACGGGGTCTTCAGTTCTAAAGGATGAGCCTACAAGGAGAACACCATTACTTGGGTGAAGGGGAGAAGAAAATGTATGTGGAAGAGAAAGAAAGGAGGTGTCACCAGTTATGTTTTTCCTCACGGCCCTGGTGTGTGCAGCAAGTAAGGTGATCGGGCTGATGATATCAGGCGAGGGCCGACATGGCATGACAGAAAGTTTTGTTGTGGGGATTACTGTTGTAGACTGGCTTGGATACTACCAAAGCGTCTAAACTTGGATAGAAGAGGGGATGGATATCTCAATCAAAGCAGTTGACTCAGAAGCCTGTATGTAAGGTAGTGGTGTCCGGAAGGGAATGAGGAAGCTTCAAATTATTTTCCCCACACTTTTGATCTCCATCCTGCAGACTGTGTTTGTCAGAAATCTAACCATTGACGAGCCTGGTGTGAGAGACCTTGCACGTTTTACACGCAGTAAATCCCAGCGGGTCCAGGAGACACAAATCGTCACACCACGGCACCTGATAGAATAGACCTCTCAACGATCTCAGGCGAATAGCATAGCTGTGTAGTATTTCTATAAATGTGGCTACCTTAACTCTAGAACAGCAGGCAGGAGCCTATCATTAAGCTTACACAGAAGATACATCGTCTGCGCAGGGTAAGAGGGGCAATCCTCTTCTATGACTTGCTTTCATACAGCATTTAAATGGCATCTCATGTCTCCTGCGTGAGCAGCTTTTAGAAGACCCTTCAAAATGCCGGCTTGATTAGTCCCTTTACAATCCATGTTTGCAGGCTACTAGCCAAACTCCGCTAGCGAATCGATGGCCACCTAACGAACAGCCAATAAACGCTTTGTTTGTATTCGAACACATTTGCACAACCAGCAAATACACACCTTCGACGCTTGTTTTGTAATTCTCTTACAAGATCATACAAACTACATTCAAAAGTATGGGATAATCTTCTCCCCAAATAAACGTGTTATATTGCAAAAACAATTTTGAGAACATTTGAAATTTTCTCTGCACTCGTCAGTAAAATAAAGCTGGCGCTGTAAAGCTGTAAAGCTGTAAAGCTGGCGCGGATGTACTGTTTGGGAACAAATTAGTTGCCGTAGCCATTCTGACTGTTTCCATAAATTCATATGACATTACTCACTCATAAGAAAATTCGAATATTATCGCTGAGACATGCTTTGAATATAGGTTCACGAACAAAATGTGGACTGAATCACCGCATAACTTTACTGCATAATATATGCTGATATAGCGGGTAAGATGCTCTGGTTGGCAGGATTCTGTTGCGTAAACCAGCACGTACCTTTTGGGCAGGCTAAAGTGAATACAGTCCAAAAAGATAAAATTCTACCTCCGTTTTTTCAAAGAATATGATAAGCGAACATTTTTTGTGTTTCATGGTTTTCAAGACAAAAAAGGTTAAAAGTTATTCCCGGTAGCCTCATAAAGACGGAAACTATCAGTTCACTGTTCTCTGGAATGGCAGGTGCCTTGTCAGATTCTATTGTCAGCAAGTCAAATCTAAACTTTGAAAATGTAGATTGGCCGCCGTCGTTGGCAATTCCGAGTTGCACTGAGTCCCCGAGTTGGTTCATAGCAGCAAAGTGGGGTCATGCAGTGAACACAACTTACCACCGATACTTAATTCAGCGCTCATGGTTGACTAAAATAGCAACTGGTGACACGAAATTAACTTGAAAGTGAGCGCATTTTGCCTGTTGCGTGCAATCTGGCGTTCAAGCGCGATATAAGCTTGATGGTAAATCGGGAAACGCGCTTACCTCATGAACCTCAAGAAGGATGAAAAAGATGGCGGGCTGTCGAAGGGTTTTTGGCAAGCTTATGAGTAGTACATAACGTCCATACAATGTATCGCGATATCTCGAATATTGGGCCGACTGAAACATGAGGCTCTTTTTATACAAAATTTGGTGGAAGTATATCACAAACGATAGCTTCCTCTAAGATTCAGTTAATTTTTTAAGCAAATTCAAATTGTCGGTGTTTTTGTTGATAAAATGCCCATCTGAATACAAATAAATAAAAGCTAATGTTCAAACGAATCAGAAACCAAACATTTTGAATTTATATGTACTTGTCAACAAGCTTGAACTAGCTTTCGAGCTTCAAGGACGTCCAAAATGTTGATGAGTTCGCACACACTGAATACTCAACCAAAACTAATTTCACACTAGTCTGCTCGTTGTCACGTATATGTGCCCTAATGATCACTCAATTGTTTCTACTGGGAATAGCGTACGTGAAAACGGAAGGTCTTTACCGATAGTTTGTTGGACGATGTTGAGTTGTAGGCATGTAGAACGGATGTCGGCGAGGTTTGCAATATCCTTTGCATAAACTGAAAATGTGATGTCATCTGACTCTAAAAACAACTGTTTTTATCGATTGTGATGTTCACAGGCTCCACAGATGGACCGTCTGCGGAACCGGAAAACTGTTTTTTACCTGGAAATCAATGGACCTGATTGGGTCGACTACAGAACATCATCTAGTGGATTTGAAATTACCCAGAGCAGTGTCCCGTTGTTTGAGGATCTAGATATCGCTAATATTGCAATCATTCGAAGTTTGCAAATCCAGAATGATTTTTTATACCTCAAACCACGTTTTCGCAGGTGAGTTTGTGTAAAGTAACAAAAAACGTAAGAGTAACGTAATAGTGCATTTGTTTTCGGCAGTGAGGAAATATTAGTCGCTCGTGAATGTTTATTGGTTGTTATTGAAATACCAAGCTCTGTGGAAACATCAACAGCCACCTAATCAACAAACATTTTTTGTTAAGGGCCAAGATTCAGGTGAGGTTGCAAGACATCATCTGGTGTTTAGTCAGGATAGGGCTGCTACCAGTATAACGGTGATACTACTGATGGGGGAGCATGCGAGTAGTATGTTTTGTTCTTGTAAATTTGCTTTGCGTCTCTTGGAAAGGTAGATCTGTTGTAGAGAGTGGAGTCGCTTTGTAACATTTGCTTAGATTTGAGCAATGAGTGATAAGGGTCAATAAATATTCAGGAAGATTCCAGAAGACACGTTCAGGGGAATTTGGATGTCCAGTTTGTGTAATTAAGATGGCAAATAAAAGTTTTGCTTCCCTGTCCAATATTCTGTAACTGCTCAGTTGGCATTTTCTAATAAATAGCTCCGCAGCAAGGACCTTCTTCCTTTCACCAGTAGTTCAGTCAGCTGACGCTAAGATTATCCCGCAGTATCACTTTTTAAGATAACTAATCACCTTTTACTCGACCGTCTCTGAAGTCTGTGGCATCCTGTGAGTGTCAGTATTCAATGTTTTAATGAAGGCTTGAGGCAGTCACATGTCCTAAGGCATCAAAATAGTAAGACATTGCAAGTCACATATTGCAGTAACCGCTGTTTTTGATATTACCATTAATAATAGTATAAATCTTGCTAATGTGGATGAAAAACACCTGAAGAAGTTGACTGAACTTCTTTGTAATGACAAGAGGGAGGTGATAGGGGGATCAAAGGATAGGATAAGTGTGGGTTCTCCAGATACAAGTTCTTTTATGAGCACGATCACTCTCGAAGGAACAGTTGTGTTATACTCACTCACATGTTTAACAATTCGAGGGACTTACGTTGGTATTTATCTCCAAATATACTCTTGGCTACAGCGGTGCTCCCGAATTCACGAAATCGACTGATGACTGTGTCGTAGAACCAGTTGCAGCGCATGGCTCGATAGCCGCTGTTGAAAGAAGATAAAGGCACAATTGCACTCTTCATAAACAAGCTTTGAATTGGCTTTTGTCATCTGCTTGACCCCTCAATATGTGCTAGCCTAACCTGTCCTGCAATCAGTTCTGTAAACCATGTGTAAAATTGTAACGTTAGCACCGCCAGAGATTCGTTAAACCGTCGGGCACAAACATGGACTTCGGGGAGACAAAACCATCTATCAGTCATTCACGTTTGCCGAAGAATTCTCCTTCCATAAGCTTTCGTGACATAATGCCGACCTAATTAGAGTTTCCTCAACACTATTACTGGCTGTTTCTGTTGATAGAATAGTTTAGTCCTACATAGTTCATCCAGAAATTGTTGTATGTAGAGTCTCATTATCTCCTAGTACAGCTTACAGACAACATTCAATTAAACTTTTGCGGACTGGACCAGAGGGCAGTTTAGTGGATATCTTCGTCGTGTCAAAGAGAAAACATCAATATAAGCAGGCGGGTACAAAGTGCTCCGAATACAGCGAATATACAATCATTTGCAAACTAATTTGGTTTTCCGAGAGACTCACCTGGAACCCAGTTGAAGCTCTCGTTTGTGACGTTGCCTGAGAACATCAAAACCGAGAGATTTAGCTGGGTTCCCGGTGAGCCTCTTGAAAAACCAAATTAGATTGCAAATGAGTGTATATTCACTAATTTCCTACAATTTGGTTTCAAGTGGAACATACGGTTGACGGAGACCCGTCGACTGCGCCTACCTGATGAGCCCCAAGAAGGGCGAAACCGGTCGTGGGCTGTCGACGAATTTTCAGCAACCTTATGACTAGTACATTACAAATATATGCTTCGAGTGCAGTTTGCCAGTTTCATAGAAAAACTGGCGGTTCCGATTGGAAGTAGACATAACTTATTATAACTAAGTGGCTGATTTGCTTACCAGACTAAGCATTTTTCGACATAAGATTTATTACCAATCAGGGTGATCTAATCAGCGCGTAGTGGTGTTGCACCGCGTCGTGGTTTCGTGGTCCGTCGGTGTTATACCCTTGTACGCCGGCGTCTGTTGTTTGATTAGGCTTGATCGGTCAGCTGTTTAGTTTATTTGGTTAGTTGGCTGGCTCGTGTCATCTTCGGTCGGCATAAAAATGAACTTGAACCCTGAAGACTCCGATCCGTGTCTAGTAAATTTTGCTCCTTTGAATCCATGGAGAGAGTTTCTGTTTGTTCAATATTGTGTTTGCTGCATTCGATGCAGTTTATCTGGTCCAGGACCTTGTTTTGATTCCCTTATGTGACTTTGTCCTTCGGTCCCTCTTCGTAGCGCTTGGTTTGTGTTCAACCGTTTTCCCATGCTGCTGAAGTCATCCTGCGATTAGTTCGTAAATATGGCTGACATAGGAAAAGACTACCCGTGTACATGTTTTCCATTGTTCTGGTGACTGTCATCGACTCCACCAAGCTACCTACGATGATTTTTTTCCTGGATATCTATCTTTTCCGGCACCCCGTATAAGTGGGTTCATTCTTTCTTCGTAGCGTGGGCCTCTGCTGTCTACCATAGACCATGGATGTGACCATGCTTGTGTTTGATTCCTGTGTGCTTTGCTGCAATATACACAGGGGTCAAGTTTTCCATTGACGGTTCCTTGTAAAAGCAGGTCAGGAAGTGGCAATTCAGCGACCTCTTCGCCTTGGTGCTTATCCTGCCATCCCCCCCCCCAAAAAAAAGGGTTATCAATTATGTTATGTTCGTATTGTGTGGGGTTTTTTGCATAGTGGCGAAGGTATCATCCATCTGGGGAATTTGTAGTTTTGGACTGATCAGTGACAGAACAACACGTAGATCATAAGGTTGACGGAAACTCGGGGACTGCGGCTACCTGATGAGCCCCAAAAAGGGCGAAACCGGTCGTGGGCTTTCGAAGAGTTTTCAGCAACCTTGTGAGTAGTTTCCTTTATGAAAAAAACACGTTCTTCCCTTTACACGATAGTTTGGATGATGAATCTCGACACTGATGATCCCATTGAATTCCGTCCTTTTTTCTGGCACACTTGTCTGTCAAACCTGAGGTACGATGTCGTTCCAGGATTCAACAGTCTGTGTATGCTCGCTGGTTTATTCGTATTGGGTTGATTTTCTTGGTGAATTTGTTACTGACTGACGTGAAAAATCAGGTAACATGGAACTATAACGTGATATCATCGTTTCTCACGCTGATATTTCACAGGAGTTTTCCAATAATAAGGTTATGTGTTTAGATCCAGATGCTGGACGCTTTGATCCTTTCGAAGGACCTTTTTGCAGTTTGTACTCTGGGGTTCATGACAACGAACCGATTCAATAGAGTGGAGTTTGCCTTCAGTGGTATGTGGGATCCTGTGATCCTGATGTCAATGGTCTTCATTTTTTGCTGTTGATGAGTTGGTTCATTTGCCATTTGTAGTTTTCTAGATATTACAACGCCTTTGTGAGCTAAATTTGGATGGAGGTCCCGATCGATTGCGAAGTTGGTGGACATACCGGTGAGTAGTTCCTTGGTCTTCTCGATACACTCTGGTTTGTCTCGTCATTCGTCTGGTTGGTTGTCTTATCATTCGTCCAGGAACTACTGACAGTCGTATAACAAGGTCTGTATCGTTATGAGTTTTGACCGCTCCATCTTCCTGTTTTGAAGCAGTGCGTTTGACTTTGTTCCGGGCGGTCGTCGACACTGCACAATATCACTGCAGTTTGCATGTATGTGTGGATATATTCTACATCACGCGGCTCATTGTAATATAAAGAAGTTATAAACGACTGTAGGCACTGCAACTGTCAACGAAACACAGAATTTTATCCATGTGTTACGATGTGAAATGACACTCCTGTTTCCATTTCTAACCACGAAGCCCATGAAGCTTTTCTGGGGCTTTTTGCATCTGTGCAAATCAATTTAACGAAACCTCTAGAGATTCTACGCCATGCTTTGGTTGTGTGGAACATACAGATCATCCGGGACCAGTCTATTGATTTTTTAGAACCTCAGTCATTTGATAATGCTGTAGTAGTAATCCGTTGATTTTACATTCCTCGCCCCCAACTTTTTGGTTCTATTAGGTTTTTGGATGTGCACTTGTGTTTGATGCTTTTTGTGTTCATTGAGTAACTGCGTAGGTCCTAGTGACCCAGGTTGAACGGAGGCAAAGGTAGATGAACAATGTGTGGCAATTTATTTGAATAAAACTGTTCCCTCTCAACGTTAAAATAGTATTGATTCTGGTGAGTCTGCGTGACTATCTCAAACTCGTACGTTAATTGCGGAATCATTTTCTCAACTTAATCTCTCCTAAATGATCAGCATCGGTAAGAAAACTTGGAACTAGTGAGTGTACTGACGTCATGGAGTCACTGGCTCTTAAAACCGTGTTGAGTATTGATCAGCTGAGTGACAGATGAATGCACTCAAGCCATCAAACACAAGAGACTCACCTGTAAAATTCATGGGATCTGTAACTCTGGCGTGACGACAGAAGGATTCGTAGGCTAAGTACGTATGTGTCGCTTCTATTTTGACTGGCTTTGAAAACTATTGATTTCCTTATACACGTTCACACTGAACCACAGGATTCAATCAACATATGACACCCAGGCTGATAAGAAAATCGTAACGACTGTGTACAAAATCGATTCGCTGCCTTCAAAAGTCCTTTGTAGTTCCATTGTCATTTTGTTTTCCGCATGACCAGGCTAAATGCAGACGCCAATACAAGTTTTCGCGATGGTTCTACGACTTATCCGTTTGTGTGAGAGCCTTCAATCTAAACTTTCTGCTCTCACTATACCATAAACCCCATCACATCATCCGTACCCAGTTTCGATGCACTACCGTAGATCACTCGTCGTTTAGCCCACAAATAACCGAGCCGCAAACATGACTTAACAGCACGAAATCTCGGAAAGTAGAAAGCTCATCTCTCTCCCAGTTTTGAACGATGTCAACGGAAGACAAGACATTTTCTCCAACATAAACAGTGGAGAGTATTGTCGGGATGATAAGAAACGATTGACTGCTCCGGGTCCGATCCCGTCCAATGATCACAAAACTTGTGCTTTTGTACGGTTAAGACAACATTTTCTAGTTTCACTTTACACGAACATCCTATCAAAACCGTCCTAGCATCCAATCTAGGTCTATTTGAGGGCCTTAAAACCGTACTCACACGACGATGAGAATTTTTTTAACTTTAATTCTTCATGGATCGAAGTTTTTGTTCGCCCTAGATCGCGTCAATCGGCACATTCCACTTCTAGGGAATCACACCAACCAATTTCGTGCTTCTTTAAGGCAGTTGATCACCGAACACGCGAAAATTTATGGTACACTACTCATAAAGATTTATTTGTCTCGAAAGTCACTTACGTTTCTCGCAGACAGAGCCTGCAAAGCGGTCCGTTTACTTCGGTCACTGTCTCTGAACAACGCCGACAAATCTGACGTCCGCAATTCTTGCATTGCATCCGGGGATTGATCAGCAGAATAAATTTCTGACCGCACAATAAACAATTGTAACTTTCAGCAAGCGCCTGACTTTTGGCTGCTACCTCACGATCACGTCTGAGCAGGCTCGTGCGATACCGTCTGCCATTGCATTCCGGATGAAATTGGAGAGTGGGATAAGGTGGGATCAGGTAAAAGTCTAGAAAATCCCACTATGGCGAGACAAATTCAGTAATTTACTATTCACAAGGATCCTTTCACAACGATTGTCGATGTAAGAAGGATGCTTTGAGTGCAAGTACAGAAGAAAACTTAGACCTTTGCTGTCATATAAATAACGTTCTGATATTGGCGAAATAGCGGTAGTGATTGAAAATTATATTTCCGAGGTTTGAACAATGATCTGGTTGAATTGTTATCCAGATTACACTAACCCCAAGAAAAAACGCCTCAGAAACCGCTTGAAAGGTGGAGGGGAGAGCGAGTATCCACTACTGATGGTATGTTTAGTAAAAGGATGTATAAATTTTTGAACGATCAGAATAAGATGACGTATGCCCAGGGCGTTAAGGCAAATAACTCGGTTAAATACAACATGCAAAGACATTGTCCGATTAGAAATAAACAGCATAACGCTTGCTTCTACAAGTTAATGTCATGTTGAGTGTATCTTTCACTTACATGCAGGCAGACGCACGAAGACTTGAAACAGCCCTCTGTCAATTACGTGACTTAACTATTTGTTTCCCTATTCCTCAGGCTAATTCATCACCCTTCCGGTGACTGCTCAAGTTTCAAGCCTGAACTGTTCTATTTTATACAAACTCGACTCTATATCAACCGCTTTTTTATAATCGATTTGTTCACATCCATTTCTGGGCTTGTTGTTGAACTGAACAACATTTTTCCCGTTTAATTTGTCCGATAGCACACTACCCTTCGTGTGCCATCCTGTGTTGCCAACTGCACAAGGTTCAATCTAACCGTAAGTCTTTCTTTAATTCTCCTCATGATTTACTGTTAATTTCTTATAGAACCATGGTCTACCTATCTATACTGTCTGCCCAAGTCCAGTTCAATATATTACTCACTGTTCAATTGCGACTACCGAACAAACGCAGGTGGAGTTCTTAGAATCTGGTTTGGCCGCAATTATTACTGACCGTCCGTTGGTGAATTAGACTGCACGTTACCTGTCAGATGGGACACCTAGGCTAATCAACCAATTCCTTGCTTTGAGATCACGGCCTTAGCACAGGATACTACACCCTCCTTCATTTGATTACGTTGAATATTTTTCAGCTACTACAATGAGTAATTCACAAGGTCTGTTGTCTCATATAGGGCAATATATTATCCACTATTAGCGTGCCCATCGAGTCCCTTTTTCACCAACTAAAAAAGTTAGACGCGGGGACACTGAAGACATTTTTTCGTGCCAAATTTGGAATGGCAACTGTTAATAACAAAGTTATTAGTCCCTCTGTAACCTCAATAAACCACAAGTCTACTGAAGACACCTTGTCAGAACAAAGTGAAAAAAATGGATTTCCGCTAAATAATGTGACAAATTGTGCACTGCATGCTCTGCAAATCAGATGAATGACAGTGACAGGACCACACTCATGAAATCATCATTTTGTGTTAAGCAGAGCAAATGAATAACATAGGCATTTCTCATCGACTTCATATCTGTGTTTTAAGTCAACCAGTTCGGAAGGCGTACACTGTTGAACAATCATTAGGACCCCTTGCATCGACGTGTTGCTATGCTGAGCCGTTGCAACACGTGGTCCGGTCTGCTCTGGAAAGAGGGACAACCGGAAGATTTTGCGAGTAATTTCCACGTCCCTCGGTTGTTTCCCATTGATTTATTCGACCTCGCGAATCAACGCCCAAACAGATAAAATCATATCGCTATTCTAGGGATGACACACCAGTTCTTCAGAGCAATTCACTAGAAACTCCTCGTCACTGGATCTCGTTCATCACTCTATCATTCTCTCATTATTCATGTTCAGTGCATTCTATAGGTTAGTTAAGGAAAATTTACGTATTCTGAAGACCGTGTACGCAACTTCAGTTTGCAGAAGCCACAGAGTTTAGTGACCATTTCAAATCTTCACCATAAGCGCAGCGCTGCACTTTATCCCTTCTTTTAACGCCCCACTGTTGTAGACAAAATCATGAACCTGATCCCAGCTTCATACGTTGACTTGTTCCAGTTTTTTCTATAAGAAATGCTTTACAAACAAGTCCCGATTGAGGTCTCGTACTCGTGCATTCAAAGCCCGCATTAATAAATCATGAAATATTAGAAATCACAAGGATCAGGTTGTGTTAGAGAAAAGCAATTTTCGACAAGTCACTCATAATCGGCAGATTGAACTTAAATGCTTAGGATATTTAAGGGCGTCTAGGTACCAACCCTACACCGTTAAGATAAAAATACTCCGAGTGTATCGACAGAAACATCATTGCTAGTCAAGATAGTCGCCATGGTGGGCCACGTTTTCCCGGTTGATTGTTTCTTTTGCATTCCACTTGATCAGAATTTATAACAGAGCAGTAAAAACAGTCGGTCGGTCTGTTCACCGAGGCAAAAAGAGAATGAGGCAATAATGTCCCGCCACGTTTTCCCGGTTGATTGTTTCTTTTACAGTCCACTTGATCAGAATTTGTAACAGAGCAGTAAAAACAGTCGATCGGTCTGTCCACCGAAGCAAAAAGATAATAGGCAATAATGTCCAGTCCTGCTCGATCAAGCATGGTGCTATGTCAGAACAGCGGTCTACGCATGAGCGTGCAGATGAATGACAGAAAGAAATGTAAATTTGGAATAAAATTTTACACAATTGCAAAAATGATACTTCAGAACGAGAATCGCTGACTCTGATGACCAGAAGGTGAGCCAAAACAACATCTGTACCAGTTTTTTTAGTCTACAATCGACGCTGAAAACTAAAAATATATTTGTGGCGACGGATCTTCCATACCTGACCCAGAATGCTTCACAACTAGACAAATTTGAGAGGATTTTGAAGAACAACAGTTGACCAATGCCACCAGCTGAACACTGGAGGTTACCTGTATCAATAAAACTAAGGAGAGTTATGTAAAATATCTACATCTATTTGACAAGTCCAATGAGACAGAGCTGTCCAGGTTAATGGTCACTCTCGTTAGGAAGTCACGCACCGTTTGGTTTCAATGCGGTTTGACGCTACAACCAAATCATTTTGCTGAATACTCGCATAGACTCAAAGCATGCGTGCTTCATAGGATGAATAAAAAACTCTTGTCTGTGCAGAAAGGCAATTCAGAGTGACTCAAGTCATATGATACCTAAGAACACCAACAACCTTCAATAAGTCACGACGTGTATTCATTTGCATACGATTTCGGTATTTACGGCAGACTCAACTGAATCTCAGCTGATCGTCTCATTTATGACATTCTTCAGCTACCTGCCTATCTGATAATTTCCAGAAAGAAAGAAACCGGTTATGGGCTGTCGGGGAGCTTTGAGAAACCTTTTGAGCAGTTCAGTTCATTGCATTTGGTCTGCTTGGATTCGCTTATAAAGTAACTCATGCTTCATTCGATAATTTACTGACTACCTGGAATGTGCATCCTTGACCTCCGCCAATGCATTTTCAAAACCTCGTTCACCTCGGAGAAGATCTTCCAGCTCCAATATTCTTTTGATGCCCGGATGTCACGCAACCCGAAGGGAGCACGAAGGCTGAAATACGGCCAGGTTGCCCAATCTTAGGCAGAAGAAGTCGATATGCAGAGGTTGAGCCCGAACCATGGACGTTTCCGTCAATACATTTACGCCTCAACCACTAATCTTGCTTTAGTTCTTAATTCACTTTTGAAGTCGATATGCAGAGGTTGAGCCCGAACCCTGGAAGTTCCGGTCAATAGATTTACGCCTCAACCACTAATCTTCCTCGAGCTCCTAATTCACTTTTTGATCCAATGAGCTGAGTAGTCCATTCGTTTTGTCGATTCACCCGTTTACCCGCTCTTGCTCTTTTAGAAAGTTCTCATTCATGAAAACATCCTAGTGGAATCTCATGTGATAGAGGGTGCATCTCACGCTGTTCCTTATAACTTATCGCAATTTGATGCTCTGAAATATGCTGCTTTTCTGCTATACGGGAACAAAGTTACTAAAGTCTATATCGGTTTATGAGTGTCCCCAAATGTCACGTCATTTTATTGTTGGCTTGAAAGCCAGAGTGTTGCAGTGTTCTTCAAGATCCTCATGAACACCGACCCGTAACTGGTCTGAGGATAGTTTCAACTTATAGCAAAACTTATGTACGTGTATTTCGTGTATTTTTTCCAGAAAACCAGTTTTTGAAGACTACAAGTGGCTAATGGGCATGTATGCCAATACAGGTTTAGGAGTACTTTCGGTTGCGCATTATTGATAAGCTTCATGATATAAAAATGCCTTTTGATAGACAAGGGGTTGTGGATCCTTTCATGCAGCAAATCCCGAATGACGCTAATGATCACGTCTATTGGCATATTACTGAAAGGATTAACGTTAGAAAAGCTGTGGCTTTGTTTTTGATGCCGTACTATTTCAGTGGGCTCAAAATCCAAAACTGGCCCTGGAAATAAAAATACACGGCCTAGATTTAGGACATTCTCCGACTCCACAAAGTTCCAGCCATTAAAAGCGTTATTACGGCCCTGTAAATCCATTACTTTTGAATAGCCTCTTCGAATTTACACCTTAGAAGGGAAAACTCATTCCACATGTGGCGGCAAATTTCGGGTAGCGCTACGGAATAGGATTAACGAATCCTCCAGCCCGACTAATTTTAGAAGGATTTTATCCTTTTCGACAAATACACTTACTTGTACACCAACTTGGTTGCGACAAAAGAATTTAACCCCAACTGAAATTCTCGTTTATGATATTACGCAACTGCCTGCCTCACAGCCTGCCCACCTGATTAGCCTTATGAAGAGCAAAATCGGTCGTCAGCTGCCTACGTATCTTCAAAAACATTATGAGTAGGTTCCTCCATGAAAATATACTTCGATATCCCGAATATTGTATCAACTGTAACATGAGGAGACCCGATGCAGCACGTTCAGCTAGGATTCAGATAAGTCTCTGGTTGAAACCAGAAATGGTATGTTAATTTCGTGCAATTTAGGCACCGTTAGAACACAAGTTTGGCGGAAATTCCGGGAGTTCGTTTGCAAGATGAGTCACAGGAAGCACAAAACGGATTTTGGGCTGTCAAAGCGTTTTCATCAACTTTATGAATGGCTTCTTTCATTTTTTGTTTCAGTGGGTAATATTTCTTGAACTCAAAAGACCTCACCCATAACACATCGGCCTTGGACTTGGGTATTTTAAGGCGCTTACATCTTTTGTTTCAGTGGGTAATATTTCCTGAACTCAAAAGAGCTCACCCACAATAAATCGGCCCTGGACATGGGTACTTTCATTGAAGGCGCTTACGGATGATGTAGGTTTATTGGGCTAATGGGCTCATCTGATTTTTCTTGATACTTCGTCTTTATTGATATCTCCAGTTCCTGTACCCGCACGATTTCCGTTGCAGCAGAACAAATTGATATACCCTGCCACACGTCAAGCAAAACTGTGGACATTCCCCAATAACTGAACTGTCATCTGCAGTAACAAATTGAGAGTATTGGCCAAAAATTTCACATGGTACACGTAAGTAGTTGAGCTAATTGTCTGAATTAACTTCTGGACCAGCTGTAACTGAGTTCGAAATATGAGTGCATTTCAACCATCTCAGACAGCGTGAGCTTTTTCCTCGGAGGGATTAAATGGTGTACAGAACATGACTTCTATGGATGATTTTGCAGGATCCAGTAATATCAACAACATTGCGAGGAGACTGATCATAAAAACAGCAAACGGTAACACTCAGGGTACGAGAAGAACAAATGAAGCGCTCAATTTTCGATGTCTCAATTCAAATTAGATCCCTAATTAGGGATGACGCTCAGTTCGAGCCTTCAATAAAAGTATCGATCACGTCCATGTTCACAGTTCGCCAGACACCGTGTATCCGACGTCTTGTTACAGTGGACAAAAGGCGGTTGGATGATGCAACAACGAAGGATGGAGAAAGACAGGCTAGCTTTGGTGTAAGAAGAGAACAGTGATTCGAATGTAAAAGTTACCTGGCGAGACAAGTTAGCAGTGGACAGTCGGTGAAGGGGAAAAGTAATGTACATCGGAACAGCTTGAACGAAATTGCCATCCATATACCGCCACATATCTCGACATCGAACACAAACACGCAGTTTTCGGAAGAAAGTGGAATAATTGTCTACATGAATAGAAGGAAAGCTACCGGACATCGATTTTTGTACATTTAATCGGAGAAATTACTACTTCTAGCGTTCAACTAATGGTTGAATGTTCGAAAATTACCATCGTGGCCTGATGGATCAGTGGTTAGATCTCGAATTTACTGACCAGAATGTCCGTGGTTCGAACCCCACCTCTGCTTCCCTATTTTGCTTGTCAAGGCTTGGGTAAACTGACAGTATCCTAGCTCTCGTGCTTCCTTCTGGTGACATAGCAGTTAGGCACCAAAAAGGTGTTACAACTGGACCATTTTTTATCGGATTTCACTACCTAACGACTGTCGTCGTAAAAGACGGGTCTGAAACTGGAGATGGTGTTGACAAAAGATTAAATGATTGATGAGGGATTTTGGGCGGCCGAATCGATAAATTTAAAAACGGATTGGTAACAAGAGGCGAGCATAGCGAATGAAGATTTCATATATATGTAGAACACGGAAGGTTTCACTGCTCCCGTACGAAACTACGACAAGCACACAGCAACAAAACTTAACTGTTCGAGGAAAATACACAAAAATTCTTATTAGGCCCGACTTATCCACTTATCTCCTCAAAACGATGGAGCGTAGTAATTCGCTTTCTTATGCGAGTTACATACCAGTTTAGCGAAATGCACTCATTCGCAAACAAATTTGGGTTTCGCGGTTGAATGTGCTTCAGCAGGTCGCTTCATGTTTCAGTTGGTGCGATATTTAAGATATCGCGATACATGTATAGACATGATAAGTTTTTCAAAGAATTTTCAGCAACCTTATGAGTAATATATTGCGAATATACCAGTCTGTTTTTTTCAGTGAAGAAAGATGTCGTCGAAGTGTGGAGAACGTCGGTAGCTCAGGTGGCGAAGACGGTAGTTGTGGTGCAAAAACCGATCCGCCGCCATCCTTCATATCTCCCAAACAACACACTGATGATATCTATTTGGTTGATGATGGAACGTTTGCAATCAAATTGCCAAGTTCGGCGAACAAACCGTCGACCGTATCCTCCTAAATGCGTCGTCAATTTTGGTTGCGGTAGTTTGAACTGTTTTTTGGTTGGTTTGGCGGAAAATAAAATGCGCTTACGACAACAAGAATAGAAACGAGTTTGTGACGTTTTGAGATGGAATGAAGTCTATCATTCTGAGAGATAGGTATCGAGACATGTTATCCACAGTTCACCAGTTCATGGGTGAAAAATTGAGGCAAAGTGCCCGACAAACCCATCACCGCTATCCCTCAGAAAGGTTCCCCTGATGCGAACGTTCACAACTCAGAGAGTAGTAAAAACGCGGGTAACTTAATTACCAATAACTAAAAATCATTGAACTTCCTAGTAATTAAAAGCGGTTATGGCGTCAGGGAATATCAAGAGGCAGTCGGTAAATTTGTATTGATTAGCAATCGTCTGGCAATGAAATTAGGCTGTTTATGAGGTTGCAGAGGCCTTCTCAACAGCTCACAGTCAGATCTTCCTTCCGTAGAGGGCATCAGATAGGCGTAATCCCCCAAGTTTAATAAACAATTTGTTTCACTGGAACCCTCGGCACTCAAGTGGTGAAATACACTCATTTGTAAATCAAATTCATGCCACTTCCGGATTCAACTGAATCCTAGCTGAATCTCAGCTGAAGAACGTCGTAAATATGACATTCAGCTGGGTTTCAACTGAGTCTGTCAGTGCATTTGACCACTTGCTGAGTGGTGGTGGAAGCGATATATGCTTCAAAAAGGATGAGAGTGGTAGTTATTTGTCGGAGAGCTCTCAGCAGCCTTAGTGTTTTATGTCAGAAGAAATATACTTCGTTATCTTGAATACCGTCCAAATGTAATCTGAGGTAACCAGCTGAAAATACCGCGTTCCGGTTGAGTTTCGTACTATAACATCAATTTAGTTTGCAAACGAGTGTATTCATCATTCGACAGATTTTTTAAAGTGTTCAGAGATCATCCGGGTGGGGTTGCTTGTCAGTTTTTGGAAGGTGAACATATCGATGTCTAGCGACCACACCTACACTTGTCAGTAAACAACAAGCGGTTTTTTAGAGAACTGACACACTGTATGTTTTCAAAGGGGGACTCAGATTTATCCCGCCTGATTTCTCGTTCAGGACGTTCTTCAAGTGGCCTCTAAAGATTTTCCGTCAAACTGTTGGATAGTATGCTTCATCTGAAACAGCTTTTCTTCCAGTGCATCATGCAGAACGGTATGCGTACATCAGGATTCGTGTGAAAATATTTGAAATTCCGAAATAAAAGCCCAGACAGGACTTATCCACAAAGTTTCCTCTCTCGGTAGCAAAATAATTCTCGATTACCTGGTACTCAGCACCACAGGATTCTGGTTCTCCCATTCAAGTCTACGCGTCAGGACTGGTCGTTACGTGGCCCACATATGTCCAAGAATTCAAAGAAAACCAGATACAAGCCTTGCGAATGAAAGTGAACACCTACACAATATTCAACAATCTTACTTGGCAAATAATTTACATAGTCAACTGTCACATGTTTTTTTTTGAGAAACACACACTGAAAAATAGCAACTCACTTCAAGCGTTCCTTCTCTACAACTCTAACTTGTAAATCTCGCTGTACTACGTTCAAGACTTTGGCCCTTTCTTCTTCACTCAAATGACTCAAGTCAATCTTGCTGATGGCCCGCTCCAGAGAGGAACTTTTTTGCGAGGGTAGCATGTTGACCTGCCGAACTTTGTTGACCTGACGAGATACAGATCCACGTGAGTAGGGAGATGAGCCAGATATGCTACTCTTCCTAGCATAAGGATCTGTGGTAGAGAAAGACGGAATGAAGTTGGGAAGAGGGAACGAGTTTGAACTCAATCATGATTATGAAGTGAATCATTCTTGCATCGCACAAGATGTGCAACGCTTCAAATTCATTCATTTATTACTACTGTGGCAAATTTGGTGAACAAAACGGGTTTAAAATTCTATGCAAACCAGACGTTCAGTACAGAATATTTGAATATAAAACGGACAGATAGCCTACTGTTTGAACTGGAAATGTTTTTCACTGTGTATGAAAGCATCTTTGACATTTGTGCATGGAATTAGGGTAGCTTCACATTGTGCAGACGCAGGTTTCAAAAGATACTCCTAAAACAGGGTTGGTTATTCCAGGAGTGGTATCTATTCGGTTCGGAGCGAAAAATGGTGAAATCCGAATCTGTACACAAGAACATCGCTTCGCGTTACACCCGCCTGATGAGCAACAAACAGGACGAAACCTGCAATGATTGACTTTTTCAGGACTGAAATCTTAGACTTTGGACCAATTAGACTTAATTGAGGCGACCAAGCGCGTTGGTTGGTCTTGTACCTTCTTGTGAACATCATGCGATTTGTCGGGTCAAGTCAGTTAGAAATGAAGCACGCAGATTAAGTTGATGAGCCCCCGAGACAAGTCTGCCGGCCAACATTGGTTGAGACATCAAGGTCGCCACCAGAGAGTACGAAGCACCATAGCTGGCTGGAAATAAAGGAATCTTGATATGCTCACGGTAATTCCATCCCGCCACTTGTAGTTTCTCTGCTCAAGGTATTCTCCTTGAAAAACATCACTTGGGGTCAGGTAACGTGAACCGCGTGCTTGAAGAATGAGTTACGTATCCAGTGTGAATGTAATGTACGTAAACTAACCTGGAATATATACACCCACAAGTCATGATCTGGTGACGTAGTGTTCAGTCAATAATGGGTAGGTCAAGGGTTCAAATCTAAACTGGAGTTTATCGTTTATGTTCCTCCGATAGTTTCCAAATATGACAAACTATGTTGAGTATCACTAAGCTCTCAATCTCTTACCTCTACCCAAGAAACAGAAGACGTCAGGGAAAGAAAAAACAAAGACCGTGATAGAAGAATCGGAGAGGTCTAGCTCCAAGTCATCCATTTTGGAGACAGCAGCAAGTTAATGAGACTGCATCTGCCAAAGACCAATGGGAAGCTAGGGTCGGCTTGAGTGAGCAGACACCGTGTTAGCCGATACGAACAGGGTACATCCCTTCACAACTCATTCAGTGAGAACCAACAGTACTGCCTGGGCTGGCGATTGCAAACATTTGTCATGCACGTGCAAAGGAGGCTGGTGAGAATTTAGTTGTTTTAAAGACACATCGCTTTGTATGGTGTCAGGTTCACCGGGCATTCGCTATTGCCGTATCGTACCCCCGATAGCCAACTACTCACCTCCTCAGAAACGTTTTTCGGTTTCTATATTTTATTGCTCATTCCACATTACCCGGGTTTTCTGAGATCCCCAGTGAAAGGCCAAGCAAGGAAGTGGATTTTTTCAATCTGCTCGGGATTGCTGCTCTGACTTACTTACTGGAAACCTTTCAAACTTGTGCTGCAATCCGCCTGGTTTATGCGAAAAGGTGGCTGAGTAGCTGTACTGCGTCTTCGAACATAACCGCTTGTGCGGTAATTGATTTTCAGCCGGAAAGAACCATCACAGACTAGAGATTTAGCTCGATTCAGTTGTCTCCAGTGAAAACCAAATTCTTGTATGATTGAGAGTACTTATCAAAATATGTTCCATTTTGATTCAACCAGAACACAAGGTTGATGGAAACTCGAGAACTGCTCCTATCTTATATGTAACAAGAAGGGAAAAACTGGTTATGGGTTGTAAAAAAGTTTTCAGCAACCTTATGAGTAGCGCGTTGCTTCCAGACAATAGCGTGAGCGATATCTCAAATATCGTACCAACTGAAACATGAAGCGGCGTGGTGCAGCACATTTAGTTGAAGCAGACCATCGTCAGCGAGAGGTTCAGCTCGATTCAGTTGAGTCTCTTGTCAAACCAAATTCGTGTGCAAATGGGAGCATTTGTCGAACCGTAAGGACCCTTGATGAAACGGGGACATATCACGTGACGGTCTTACAAACAAATATCGTCTGATGCTGCGACACCAGTGTGGGAATACCAAAAGCCTAGGCAAAATAATTGTTTGTTGCAAAATATTGTGTAACCTCTGCTCAAATTCAGAGCAATCAAACAAGAAAAAGGCGTTTACAGAAAGTTGGCTGTAACGTACTTAATGTAGGTTTCATCACAATGAGCAGATAACTACCACTAATAAAGATGGATAAATGAGTGTGTAACTGGTCAACTGAAACGCAACCGAATTTCGTTGAACATAAAAAGAAATCCCGAAAGATCGTTGCTGTGATTATGAAAGTATTCAATGTGTTCGATCCGAAGATTAGCGCACTATTTTAGACACAGTTTATTTGGAAGTGCCTAAGCCGAACCATTCAACGACACTCAACTCGTTGGCCCATCCTGGGGTCACCTATTACACCGATTATCCATGCCATCAATCCAAAGGGTGGTAAAAATCCCGCTGAGCTAACTAGTGTTTCGAGACACTCAGCTCAAATTGAATTTGTAGATCACTTGATTGACTGTTCTCAATTAGCGCTTATCGGATTTGGACAGGCTGTTACTTGTCAAGCTCCCTAATTGATCGCTACACACCTGTGTAATGGTAAACTATGAAAAAGATTACTAAACCTTCTTGTCCCAGATTGGGGACTTGCAGCAAACAAAAAGGTTGCTCAATGCCAGCCGATGCAATTTTGTGTGGATATCGATTGTCATAGAAGAATAAAACATTTACTGTCAAATCCACACCATTATGGATTGAAAGACTGATTGATAATCATGATCTGCTTTTGCTCCACATTGAAAACTTATTTTATGGATGTCGCACCTCGTGTCATACGCTGAAATATGTTGACAAACTACTGACAACCTGGACATTACAGTTTACTTTCAAAATATCTACTCGTGGTTGACAGCATCAAAACCTTTGCATCCAGGAGAGCAGAAAAGGCACGATGACAAAGCTAAGTAGAAGGACTGGCACCGGTAACCACAAAGAAAATTCGAACAACCAAAGGATCTGCATTCAGAGACTGAAAAGTGGAGCCAGGCACTATTAAATGTGGTATGGTACCGTTCGTTTTACGGTATTATTCAGCTATATTAGCAAGCGCATTTTTGCATTACGACCCAACATCTTGATCCGTTCAATTTATCGCCGTAGTAGGTACTGAAGGACATCCGGTAGCCACAACTGTGCAGTGATGATGATGGTGACGAAACGTTTGCAAGGCTGTGCGAGCAGGTCAGCAGTCACCTGATCAACAATCAATAGCTATATTTCCGTTAAGGTTTACGTTCCATCGTGTCACTTTTTCAGGCAAGCCATATCACTATCAGCCATAAAACATGATACAGGACAACCCAGAGAAGACGATCGGCGGGAATATCAGTGTATTTCAGTTGATTGAAGGATCTCAGAGTATTGCAGCCGGAGTTACCCCATTACACCGCTGGCTTCCTTTTAAAGTTTAATATGCGAAAGTATTGGGGATGCAGGGGACTCAGCAATAGCATCAGATACTGGAAGGAACACCCTGGAGTTGGTGTAGCACAACGCAGCTTCAGACATCAGCTCACATCAGCTCAGATTACATTGTGACCTAAGGAGCTTCGGTGATTGAACTGCACCAGCATGTGATAGGATCATGCTTCACAGTGGTGTTTTGTTGGTCGACCTTGAAGAATACCAGAACTGCATTTACATTAAAAAAGAGGACTTAAATATCTTGTTCAAATCGTGCAGTGTATGAATCTATCCTTCTGTCGGGGGAGCTTCAAACGATTTATCTATGAATATAGTACACGAAAATGACGGCCTTTAGAGCAAAACATGTTAGGAAATATCTAAAAGGTACATAAAATCAGAGTAAGGGAGAACTGAAGAACAAAATACCCATCCCATTGGACGCATCTGAATTTTCACGTCTGAACAGGCGAACGTGTTCGCATTTGAGCGATGTGGTTGGTGTGCCCGACTCATCGAACGACGACCAATCAATCGCCAATCAATCCCTACAACCAGGACAGTTACTGGGTCATCGTTCGATCAGTCGGCACACCAATCACATCGTTCAAGTGTGAACACGTTCGCCTGTTCAGACGTGAAAATTCAGATGCGTCCAACGTGCGTTGGTGGAGTAGTGTTTCCAGGCTCGCCTCGCAGGTTAGATGTCCGGGTTTCAAATCCCGACACGGCCATTGGAAATGCATTGCTGATGAGCCTTAGTAAGAGCGCAACTCGAGTCCACTGCTTCCCTTTGGTGTGGACTCATCGGAATAATTACGCCTGAACAAGAGGACGACAGTTCGAACGAGTGTTGTGTGACAATTGAACGGTACTATCAAGCTAACTTGCAGTTCTTGATTGGATGTACTCTGAAAGTATTTATGCCTTTGCCTCATAAAGGACTTAATGAGCGACTATAGTCAGACGTTTGCCGCTAAACGTAAATCCCCCTGGATAAATACTGTAACTTTGGCAAAATTAACAGCTTTGTCAACTACACTTTACTGATTCACTTATGGTCTTATTGCAGACCTTCCTCTAGGTTAATTAGCGCATGCTTGTACTGTGCAACCATGAACAGTAGAAAATGAAACTGGTCGTAACAGACCCATCTGAAGTTCTTACCCGCCAAGTCCAGAAATATCTACTTGCGTTCCTCAGTTATTTTCAGTCCATCCAACTAAACTACGTGACTTATCCGTCGTCCATCCATTATATTCGCAATCGAGTAAAAGGCCTGGTATGCATAACTTTTGGGAGGACAGGCTGATGCGTTAGTGATGCTCTACAACAAACGAAAGACTGCTGAATCACTGAGGAACGTTCAGGTCAAACGCAAAGTGATAAGTGAAACCACCAGGGCCGGAATGCCTTAGCAACAAAATAATGATGCTTTACAAACAAGACCAAACGTGGGAGGAGAAATGAAGAAAACCGGTACGATGATATTCATCCACATTGCCCTCCTCATGATTGCGAGCACAGTCTGCGAATGATTCTCACTATCCCACACGAACTGAACTGCCTATCGCAATACGTGGATGAGAGCTGGTTTGTCAATTCTCATAAGTCATGTCTGCATTCAGATGCTGGTCTGCATAAAACAAGATAGCAGCAAACAGCACGTGTATCGCTGTTTCATCATTGAATAAATGGAGGGCGTCCAAAATCAATTGGATTCACTGAGCATCGGTTTCCCTAAAAAAAGCTTTTGGGGTATTACTATAGGTGTTTCAACTACTTTTGATTTTCGATCCTCCGATCTGAACGCTATCAGTATGGTTGCATTGGGAAAGTCACATCAAATCTCTTGAAGAAATCAACAGTCTCAATGGTATCTGTCGTATTTTCGACTAATCCAAGGTGATCTGCGCTGCGTGCAGTGATGAAGCCATACAAGAACTGCCCTTCATCCCACACTCATAAGTGGGTACTGAGGGGGAATCCGGCTCGAGACTCCACGCCCTGACTTTGCTGATGTGACCAACAAGGTTCCATAAATCTTCACTCAGTAAACAAGTCACGGACCCTACTGAGTACTCTGGATGAGTCGCGCGTCATTCTCACATAGTGGCGTGCATGTTGTGTCCCATAAGACGTTGCAACTGACCAAAGCCGTTGTAGAGTACCGTATCTCTCGTCTGTCATGTGCATCCGCTTTTCAAAACGTTCCCGTTTGAATAATGCATGATAGGATCAGCTTTCTGCCGCCTGCGCTTGTAACCTCTGCCAGGCATTTAAATTTTGGGCTGCAGCTATCAGTTACAACTTGAGTTTTTAATTGGATTTGATCGTGTTCCTTTCGTCACTCGCTGTTGTATTAACAGCTTTTTAAACAGTGTTTTGTTTATCTTCAGCGTGATAATGAGCGGGTGTCAGTTTGTGCTGAAGCTCTGATACCGTCAAATGAGGTGTTGCAACCTTGCGGCATTCCGATAAGTGGCTTCAAAAACTCCTAAGACGAGTCATCGAGTGCGAGATCTGCACTGGAAAAGATCAATAACCTGCTTCACCTCACTGGAGACATTTGCCCCGGACCATGTACGTATAAGATAAATCTTCCAGTTTGACACTTACAAAGCGGATGATCTTCTATTCCTGTGGAATTTTTTCTCATACGAGCTGACCAAGACCGAACCGATAAGAGTGCATTCAATTATGTGAATCTTCGTTGGAGATCAAATAGAAAAACTAGCTTTACACAGTGTTGTTCAAGCCTACCTAGCATCATCAGTGCTGACAAACCGGGAATTCTCATTCACTAAAGGTCTGTCATTGTGGTTAATATGTAGATCCTTCCGTGACTGTCTAGGCGCATATATTATGAAGGTCTCTGATGCATTCTTCATCTACTCACCTTTTGTTCACAAACCAGAGTGGGTGAGCCTGGACGCGGTTACTTTGAAGAACCAAGGTAAATATGTTCCATTTCGCTTTGTAGACTATTTAGGCTGAGAGAAAAAGTCAACGCCCATTACAGCTGACTGTGGTGCACCTCTTTTTGCAACTTACACAAAGTTCAGAATTGTAAAACCGTATTTCGACAAATTCGCAGTCTAGACGTCTATTGTTAGCTGTTTCAACAGGATATTGACGCCAAATTCACTCGGTAGCGATCATCACCATTTCCCCACTAGAACAGGTATGTGTACTAAACAATCGTAATTTGTTTTTCTCTTCTGCTTGCTTTAGAATGGTCACGCAGCAAACATTCCCGAAGAACCGGCGACTAGGTTTTTTAGCGGGTTGTCCACTTCATACACCTTCTTTTACGTACCTGCTTTTCAGGTCTCCACCGAAAATGAGGTATTGGCTGGCAGGTTTTTGCAGCCGGGAAAATATGTCAAATTACTAACCTTCCCCTGCAATGAATTCCTCAGTTTCCACGCTTAAACCCCAATGGGTCAACACATCCACACTTGTCTAGATTTTGTCATAGAACCCTTCAAGTTTCATCCTATCTTCCGGTGCCGAACAATTGAATTGTCTTCGCAAACGCCCCTAAATGACGTGTTTTTGTACATTGTGAATTACATAAACCCCACTGTGCCGTGTTTGCTTCGACTCGGGACTTCGACTTTGTCTTCTAGATGCGAAAATCTGTAGATAACGACCATACAGGACGGGTTTGCTTGAATTCTCCAGTCTTTTAGTATGGTACGGCCAACTCACAGTCTACATAATCGTAAGTAATTGTGCTTTCCTCCAAATCAGTTCAAAGCATCATGTGAAAATTTCCCAGTGGTGATGGGAACGGAAACATGAAGCGGCCTGTGTGCAGCACATTCAGTTGTAGAACATCATAACCGAGAGATTCAGTTAAGTCTCTCGTGAAAACCAAATTGATTGGCAAATTAGTGTATTTCTGGAAAACAGTCCAATTAGGGTTCACGTAGAACATAAGGTTGACGGAAATTCGGGGTTGCGCCTACCTGATGAGCCTCAAGAAGGGCAAAACCGGTCGTGGGCTGTCGAAGAGTTTTCAGTAATCTTTTGAGTAATTTCCTTTGTGGAAACAGTTTTCTTTCTTTCTCTTCCTCAGTTCTTGGGTGCTGCTTTTTTGTCACAGTTCATCTGAATAAAGGCTGGATAGGGGTCATAGCCTGACAGCCGCTCTTGTGTTTTAGAAGCTGATCACCTTAAATATCTCTTTCATTACAAGGTTTGAATGTAGTAGTGTCTTACCCTGTTCAGTTCTGTCGTAAATGTGCTATCTTCAAACTGCGAGGATTAGCACTTCAGTAACAAATCCTGGCATCCAGTTGTTAGTATAATTGTCTACCGCAGCTGAAGTATTATTACGTGTATAAGATCAACAGGTTTTGTTGTATTTTGTCATAGCTTAAAGTAATTCTCCGTTTTTCTGGCAAGGTTGCAACTGATCCAGTTGAACAATGATGTGATAGCTGAAGAAAGCAGGACTTCAATGCATTTTTTGTTGAACGTTCTGTAACCTGCTCAGGAAGTGACTGGTATTATTAGTCGTGGGTTCAGATCCAGAGATTATGTGTTTTACTTTCCTCCATAGGTTTTCTTTCGATTTCAGAGGTGGAGTTCTAGTATGTAGAATTATGGATCGAGGTGGGGCTTTTCCCTTGTGTGTACTTTTATGTCACTTTGGCTATGCGCAAAATTGCGCAATGTTAGTTTCGTCAGCTTTCATTCTTCATTATTTCCTGTTAGGTTTTTACGAACATCGCTTACAGCTTTGCGAGTGTCATGGTGTTCGATTGAGAAGTATTGAAACAGAATCATGAGCGACTGACAAACAGGTAGCGGTGTAATTTAGCACGTGCCTGACCTCCCCGATACAGTCCCGCTTCCTGCGTCACTGTCCACGTACATAAAAAAAGCCAAAGGATTCTAAGTGACGATTGAATCCAAATCATTCCCAAAATTTTTTAACGAGTATGCAATTATGCATTAATTGTGTTTCTCATCCGCTTCACTAAGCCTTCAGCAATCCGGTAATGTTAGCTTTAGAAAAATAGATGAATGGTTTGATCAATCAAGTCTTCCAAACTAAAGCAACTCGGTACGGAAGAGGTTTCCAGTTGGATACAGTTAATATTTGAAAACGCCTGATTATCAGAAATGGAAAGTACTAGTCGAAAAATTCTGTGGATGAGTGCCAATGAGAAAATAATCCCACAGGATCACACTCACGATTGTTTCACTACCGAATTGCAGATAATTGTGATACTGGTGAACATAGTTGGCTATTAAAGAGTGGTTTAAGTGTTTTGCCCTTGTTCTTCTTAGGCTGAAACCCTTCCACTTCAGAAAGCAGGTGATGAGAATTTGCTGATACATTCCTATTTTGATTATCAACTTTTTGGCGTGAAATAATTACAGCGACAACAGCACAAAAACGGTTGAATAGTTTTGTATATTTTTAAACTAAAGAAATACTTGAACTCCGCGTTCTACTGTAAGTTGAATAAACAGGTCCAACGTGATATTGTTGTGCAGATAGCAATGGTAAACAGGAAACAAGTCGAATAAGAACAAGCACTGTGTGGAATGATGCTAATTCTACTCTTCATTTAGGCTTCAAGCCCCAAAAACTGTTGTACCTGCCTGAGAAGTCACTTTTGATCAAAGTCGTTCAAATGAAAGAGTGAGTAATTCTGGTGTTCGTATGTTTGTCACACTGCAAAATGTCAGTATGATCCTGAGCCAATTACAAGTTAAAACGAGTTTAGGTGGCAGTGAAATCAAAAAAATAAATTGTGTGCTTTTGTCAAATCGAGTTAATTTCGACCTAATTGTCAATATTTGGTGACAAGTAGCACTGTTCTGATTGATAGTTTTTTAAAGCTGTGCTCACAAAACTAGCTCACATCAAACTTTGAATAATCGGCACCGCCGTCAAAGCTTGAACTAATTTCAAATAATTAATAATTCCAACCTCCCTCTATTCGAATTTAATGCAAGTTAGAATGTTGAAGTGTCATCACTTGCGAGTTTATAATTTAGGATTCTGGGCATTCCTTAGGTCATTTGGAGTAAGGATCCCGGGTTCCATTGATTATTGACTGATTGACTTGTAGTCACGTGGCTTCTGTGTTCTTAAAGGTTTTGCGTAGCCATTTTCAAATAGCAGTGGACTGGCACCGAAAACAGTTCATTGTCAAGATAGATCACCAGTAAAACGAAACTTTTATCAGTGTTTTTAGTCGGTGTGCTGGGAGGGGAATTGTTCAAGTTTACGTCCTTGCAGGGCACAATAAAACTCGTACAGCGATACAGTTAGAAATGTACGACTCTGGTAGTGCCATTCCCATAAAAAGACGAAAGTATAGTCCTCACTGGGGTACGGTCTCTCCATTGGACAGCAGCCTCAGGGTGGGCAAAAATCTTCAGAGATTGTCTCACACTACCAAGCCACAAATGATAATGTATACTATCTAGCCAAAATTCCGTAAAACATGTTCCACACCTATATTTACTTCAGGTATTAGATTCAGCCGGTTTTCCGTTTGCAATGCCTACCAGATGCTGACCATCCTGTCTCCGTGATAAGGTTGTGAACTGGACCGATCTACTAATGAATATTATTTTGGTGACTTGTTTACGCAGGCGCATCATGACAAAAAATCAACATAACGAGCCTGTTCATTGCAAAGCATCTAATCACCCGATACTTCACCACTGTGTTCATGCCTGTCCATTCTGAGTCAGTAATCAATGCAGAATATTTGCGGTAGCATTCCTCTATTCTTACGGAAGCTTTTGATATTTCAAACATTTCCTGAGGCTTTTCAGACGGAGGATTAAATTTGTTTTGAAATTTCGCGGAAGTCAAACAAGAAACGCACGTACCTCTTGTGGAACCAAGTTATTTTCTATTTTGCTTATCACATGAATTGATGTAATACAATCCTTCGATAAGCCGAAAACTGATACAGTCCGACATTTCCGTGCTCAGCATATGTCTCCTTAATTTAAAAACACAAGTGCGGCTCACATCATACGAATACGATTTCGCTAGCTCTGGATTTTGTTCACTGCTTGAATGAACTTCTCCAGTATGAATAGTAAACTACTGTTTCTAATCTGATTGATTTCCCGTCTTATCCTGCGTTAAATTCAACAAATCCCCTCACCTTGCAGCTGATAATTTTCTAAAGACAGATCGGTGTGAAAACTGCTTCTCATCTAGAAAACAGTATTATTTTAAATTCCGTGAAAACATTCATGTGTTTGTTTGTAAGTAGGAATAGTGTCCACCTGCAAACTTATCGATTAGTTGAAAGGCAGTATCAGAATAGGCTGGTTGTCCAACTAGACAGAAAATGGATATTCAACATAGTCCACAGGGACAAATGAGTAAATCTGAGAAACAGTTCAATCAATGCAGAATGTTTTGTTGGCACCGATTCACTGGCAATAGTGTTACCAATCCGAAATCAATGGAAAAAACACAATGGTGGCCATTAAGGACAACTCGTCTGCAGTATGCTTTGGCTATCCTAGACAGAAAGATAGAGAAACGTCCGTGGATTCAAACCCATGTTAGACAACATTTTAGCTCAGTAACATAGGTCTTGTCGTGGACACCAAATACTCTGGGCTTCAGCTTTTTCAGTGAATACTCTCCCTGTTTAAGCTAGGGCGACCTGGCAGTATCCCAGGCCTCGTGCCTTCTTTGTGCGTCATGGCAGCTAGGCACCGAAAGGGTGTTACAGCTGAACGAAAAAAACTCTCCGCAATGATGGCCAACAAGCCACCTTGAACCGACGAAGTCGGTCACTTTCTAATCTTCCAACAATCTTCACTGTTGTTCTATCGATCAACAAATTTTGTCACCAAACTTAAAAGGTTCCAGAGGACAGCTAGGAGCAACGGAATCTCCTCTTTTAAGTTGATCACCACCAGGGTTAAAACAAAGCTAAAAGATACTCGCAACTGTTATATTGAAAAGCCACTCCAACGAAACAGAACTGGTAACAATGTTCAGCCACAGAGGCAGTCACAATAGCCACCATATGTAGTCAGCCTGGTGGTTTCTTGCGGTTTCTTAATCCTGGAAGTGAAGTTGCGGAGCGTTTTGCGTATCTTTGGTTCTGATTCTAATGTGACGGATAAGGCCTTTTTACAAATCTCTAAGCCTCGGGTCACGTTTGCTAATTTGAGGCAACTATGGCGTCAAAATGGTTTATTCCTGAACCTCACGGGACGTTTGTATCAGGCTACAATGCAGGCTGTTTTGTTGTATCATTGTAAGACGTGGTACCTTCGAGCAGCGGAACTGAGACGTCCTCAGGTGTTCATCAATCACTGTCTCAAGATCACAGCTCTTGTGGGTTGGTGTCGGTGAATCCGTAACAAGGCAATTAGAAAGTGAGTTTTTGGTTGCGCAACTTTCATTTAAGACTACGTCCGGCGTCTAAAGCTGCGTTGGTTAGGCCATAATTAGAAAGTGAGTTTTCGGTTGTGCAACTTTCATTTAAGACTACGTCCGGCATCTAAAGCTGCGTTGGTTAGGCCGTGTTGTGTATGCCGAACCATTTTCTGCTGAAGAGAGTGCTGTTTTCCGTACCCAATTCAGAAGGACGGAAGCAGAGATGTGACTAACCCTTGACCTGGCAGAAGGGTTTGAAAGAAATAATGAAACGTTTGAGTGCTTTCGTTGTGACTTACTTTCCAGGGTGGGGAGCGCGTGATCCTCACTGTGCCTGGTTGGAGACGCCGCAAGATATGGCTGCTAATCAATGTCAGTGGCGCTCATGTTGTCAGTTTCTACCCACGTTGCTTGAATAATTGTAGGCACCTCGAAATAATTGTTGCGCTAGCACCAAGTCTCTTCGCCATCTGCATTCATTCTGGATGCGTAGGCACCTCGGAATCATTTTGGTAAGCTAGCACCAAGTTCCTTTCCCACCCACGTTTATTCTTTTCTTTACAATAAGGCCTTCAAATAAATCATGGTACGGCAGCAAGGCACCAGTGTTGAACACTCATGTGTTGTTCATGATGATGAGTTAGGCCTATAATCGCCTGTTCGCCTTGTTTTGGGTGACCTGGTAGTGCTCAGCTAATGTACAGT